AACGTAATATTCAAGATGTTTAATTGAATATTATTGTTTGATTTTTTGGTGGGTCATTGACCGAATGACCTTACAGAGGAGCCGCGCCTGTGTGTTTGTGAGTCAAATTAAGGAATAACGGCCTCTATTTTGTAATTTTAAAAGGCAGGTATCCAATATGCGAAAAATAATTCGATTTCTGTATTCTGTTGAGCGTGATGTTGGTTAATTTAAAACGTAATATTCAAGATGTTTAATTGAATATTATTGTTTGATTTTTTGGTGGGTCATTGACCGAATGACCTTACAGAGGAGCCGCGCCTGTGTGTTGGTGAGTCAAATTAAGGAATAACGCAATTTTCGAAGTAAATGGTTATTTTTGAAGTAACGCGTTATTTTAAAAGTAACGCTTTATTTAAAAGTAGCGCTTTATTTCATTTCAAACTAACGCGTTAGTTGCCGTTTAAACTTTGCAACAAAACTCTTCCACATATAGGACATAATGGGTATTTGGGTTATTTGGTATTTGCACTATTTGGTGTACAAAATTAAGGAATAAAGCGCAATTGTAGAAATAAGGAGTTTTTTTTGAAGAAAGCGTTACTTCGAAAATAACCCGTTCTAAAAGTAACGCGTTACTTTCAAGTATAACGAGTTACTTTTGAGTAACGAACTACTTCTAAAGTAGAGAAGTTACTTTTAAAGTAAAGAAGTTACAGTAACGCGTTACTTTCCAATAAGTAACGAAAATAAAGTTATCATTATTCGAAAGTAACTGTACATTTTAAGTAACGAGTTATTTTTAAGCAAAAGTAACTGTAAAGTAACGCGTTACTTTTTTCAAGTAACGATCCCAGCTCTGAAATTGGCATATCTATTTTGCAGATAAACTTAATTTTCTTGACTTGCCTTTAAAAGATGCTGTAGGAAATACTTTTCATTACAAAATCCACCAGTGAGACATTCAAATTTACCTTCAATTAATTCAAAATAACCGCCGACGTATACAGGAATTTCATTACTTGGAACTTCTGTATTTGGAGATAACCAACGACTAATTATTTCACTTAGATCTACACTTCAAAACCAAATCGGAAGAATCTTTCTCTTTCTCACTCTCAAATAAAACTGATCACACCAGATTTTATCAAAGTATAATGTCACCGACGGGTGAAAGCGTATGCAAAGTGTCGTATCAATGGGTGTCAAAATGCCCTGTGAATGTCAAGTTTCCAATTTTGAATGGGATCTGAGCAAAATTAAAGTGAATTAAGCTTTTAGAGGAATCATCACCTTGCTGGTGGTGAGAGAACTTGGTAACCCATGCCAGCAAGTTCCCGAAGCGAGAAAGGTTGAGACATACAGATGCGAAAGAGCGGCGAATTCGTGGTTCAAGATTAATTTGATAGACATAGGCTGGCTGCACCAATGCCACATCAATGTATTTTGAACATATCTATTATGTAAATGCGGAAGCTGATTAATATAATATTATTTCTTTAATTGGTTCACAAACAGCAAAAAAATATTATTTTCTACCCGCAAAAATATGTAAACACACAGGCTGGAACATGCTCACGCACTCGGCCAGGTTAATTGTCCTGACGGCAAGTATACGTACTTACGCATCTGTATTAGGTGATCTGTGACGCAGCGTCTGACCCAGAGTGGGCGGGTGCAAACAGCGTCTGTTCTCCATGTTAGGAGCGGCTAACATCAAAACTTGCCAACCCGCCTGGCAAGTGCGGCACTTGAATGGAAAAAATCTCCAAATGACGATTTCTAGGTATATACGGAAGTACCCCACTGTGGGTAGATTAACCTACTGACAACCCTCATTGCTTGCAAAATGGCTGCCTTAAGGATTCTAAGGGGCGAAAATTAGCTACAGCCTCTCAAAATAGGAACTAGGCAGTCGAACCATCGAATGGAAGAGGAACTGTCGCAAATAAAATGGGATGTAATAGGCTTATGTGAAACTCGACGACGAACTACAGCCATATAATAATATAACTATTAAAATCAGGACACGTCCTATATTTGAACTACAAAAATTTCAATAGGTACCCGTATGGGCTGTATAAGGATTTTTGTAAATAAAAGAAAAGGATAAAATAACTCAATATCTGCCGGAATGGCCTACATCGTAATTAAAATATGCAAAAGATGCCACCTTCAATTTTTTCTAGTTTATGCCCCTACAAGTTTCTCAGAAGATATCGCAACATAACATCTATCTATACAAGGCCAAAACTTCTGCAATCAAAGCATTAAAAACCAATTTTTCGGTTATCATGGGCGATTTTAAGGATAAAGCTGGCGTCCTTAAGGTACGGTTTGTTAGGATAGTACGCGACGCACAACTGACAACGTAAACGTCGTTATTGGTATGACGTACACCCTTTTTCTGACGTCAGCGTCAGCGTCAGAAACAGTAGATGGTTGAATGAATTGTGAAACATTTCCTGGAGAATCGCTTAAATGGCATTACAAATGTTCCGTTTAAGATCTTCCAGGCTATTTGACCTATCAAGCAAAGTATTAGCGCATCTTTCCTTGACATAACCCCAGAGAAAAAAGTCTAGAACTCTCAAGTCATGAGAGTAAGATGTCCATTCTATAGGACCAGCTCTCCTTATCCATCTTTTTCCAAATGTCATATCTAGTGATTCCCTTGCTATTGAAGAATAATGAGGTGGGGGCATCATAGAAGAAAATAGATATCATCCAAGATACCCTCCCGTCTTAACTGTGGGAAAAAGAACATATCAAATCAAGTATACAGTTTCTATTATCGTTGTTTCAACAATGAAAATGGTCCGTATTTTTTTTCAATAGAGATTGCACACCAAACTATTACTGTTGAGGTATCTCTATTTGACAAGTTCCAGAAAAAATACTCTGGAACTCGTTAAATTTTCTTGGAAAATGTATCTTAACCTAATTGATATCTAACTAGACAGTTACAAAATTGTTTGCCATTAGTGATATCAAGTACCTATAACATGAAGGTGCATGCATTTGCAAAAATACCAAGATTTCGATTTTGATTTTTTACGGCTAAAACTTCAAGTTTTAGGGACGATGTCTATTATACCTTGAACATGAATCTTTTTTTGACGTGATATACAGGGTGTTCCATTAGAAATAGTGGAGAATTTCGATGTTGAAAAACGGATTTTTTTTTTACTCGCCCTGTATAAGTTTCAAAAAAATTTGCAACCTACTAAAAAAACCAAGATAAATCGAATGACACAAACCACAGGTAGCTAGCACACCTGATTTAAAAGTTATAAGCATTTAAAATGGGTCACTCTCGTCTGGGACACCCTGTATTATAAAGAATTATCGACCCATCAGCCTACTATCTCGTTCATATAAATTGGTTACAAACCAACAAATTTTACAACCTGCTGTGTTTCGCCAGGGGTATGGGACCATACAACAGATACAAAGAACTTTTAAAAAAAAGTTGCAACGATTACAATATCCTTCCACACCTAGCTTTTATTGACTAGAATTAATTCACCTTTTCACTCTGTCAAACTATGTTCCATATTTCAAGCAATGGATAACGCAAGAATAGATGGTAGATACAAAAACCAAATTAAATCCATTAATGACAGAGGAACATTGCAAATAAAACTAGAGGAAGACTGAACAACAGATAAGATAGAGAGATCCGTAAAGATGTCTTTAAACAGCAGAACTGGACCTCCAAGGAGATTAACATTTAAGCAAACGTATGTTTTGCGAATCACTTCGTCTTGATTAGTATGGAAACAGCAGGAATAAAGGGAATTATCTTAGAGGTAAAACTAGCTTCCGAAAAAAGTAGGCCTAACAATGGACGTAGCAAAGACCAAGATTTTAACTAACGATACAACCTTGATAACTATCGGTCGATGGAGTAAACGAATATGATGTATACCTTCGACATACAATAAAACATCAACAAGCATAAGAAGAATTATTAGTACTTGGGTTGTCACAGGAAAACTAGGTACCATTTAAAAAATAAATATATCCTCATCAACCTAAAAAGCAAGGTATTTAACAGCTGCGTTCTACCGGGTTTGACTTATAGAGATTGAAAACAACTGCATCAACAATCAGAGCAGCGAATGAACTTAAAATAACGCAACGCTCAATAGAGAGACTTAGGCTTGAAATTAGCTTCCAAGACTACGTCCGCAATGCAAAAATATGTCGACAAGCGAAGGTGGAAGACGTAATGAAGCGAACCCTTATTCTCGTAACAGGGGAGCAGCGTTCTCATGAGAACGAAGGTTTTGTCTTTGTCGCCCATATTTATATTTTCATAACACTGACAAAGACTCATTCTCGTGAGAACGCTGTTCCTAGTTACGAGAATAGACACCCTGCGATGCTGAACGTACCTACGAAAGTCATATTGCAAGAGCATAATGCATACCAAAGTTGCAAAAAAGAGGCGTTGGGCGACCTCTTGAACGATGGGTGAACGACATCAAAGAGGCAGCAGGTAAGACCAAGATGGAGAAAGTTGGAGAGGCTTATGTCTAGGAGTGGACGGCGAGTGCTGCTAAAGAAGAAGATGATGTTGATAACGTAATAACTACATGTTTTTCGTGTTCCAAATTCGAAAAATCTTTCAATTATGAACTGTTTAAAAGCCTTTCAATTATTGTAGATATCTCCTCAAACGCACAAATAGCAAATCTAATATCACATGTTGGTATATGAAACTGAATCAATATCAACTAATGCGTGCTTCAATAAAGAAGGTCTATCAAAACGTCACTCGAAAATTAAAATTCACTCGTCTAAAAAAAGTGTGTGATTTTTCTTTCCCAAAGTCAGGAAGTTATTTCCTTCCTATGAATAAATTTACTTTTACGTTTTAAAAGTTCTAGTTTCAACATGCCATTCTATAGCCGTCAATGCCCCTTTTTAAACAAATCTCTGTCCGCTATTCGCTGATCAGACGCAGGGTTGCAACATTGCCTGACCGTTGTTCGTTTGTCTGTCTGTTGGTCTAGATGCCTGCCACCTGTTGTATAGCTCCTCTCAGTTAGACTCATCCTTCAACAACACTCAAGCATCGATGTCGAACACCAACAACACTTCTACCGAGCACCAACAGGTATTGTTTACTCTCTCTCTCTCTCTCAATCAATCTCTCAATCATACTCTATCTTTCTCCTTTCTCTCTTTCCGCTTCACTATTTGATTCTTTGCCTCTTTTGCTTTTGGTGACGCTTTTTTGTTGTTGTTGTTGTTTGCCTTGCGTGGGATTTTGCTGCTATACCTTCTACGTGTATGATAATTGGCATTAGCAAATATTTAATTAATTACCGTTGGCAGCAAAATCAAACGTTAGGATTACTAAAGAAGAAGAGGAGCTGTGATTGCTTCCGATTTTTATACAAGTAACCTTGATTATATTTTATGTTGTAATGTTATGTAATTTGTGCTTGAATTTTGATTAGATGTAGCTTTAAATATCGCAAGAATTTAATATATACAATGGAACATTCAACAATGATATTTCATAAAGATTTAGTTTAGTTAAATTTCAAACAATAGTTCAACCATAACTCAAATGATTTTAGCACAAGTTGGTGTAATTTCTTATTACAAAACTTTTCACCCTAATCTGTATCTAAAGGATAGTCGAACTTGGCTCTGCCTGCATGCGTTAATCCTTTGGTAGATCTTGTTTAGATTGCAACCATCGTAGCAGTATCTCTTTGTAATAAAGACACACAAAACTGTTCCAAAAATTACTACAAAACCAATTTGAACAATAAATAAATGCTTTTTCTGTATTTTGATTTTTTTTGGTTTGATGTTCACACCAAGTTAACACTTTCTTTGCTAGGATTTTTTTTAATTTTTGAAGCATTCAAATAGTGTAGTCAATTTTTGTTTTAACTGTTAAATCATTTACCTATGAGCGTGCGGTAAAGTGCACTTTACCGCACGTATTTGCAAATGGAAAGTGGCAACTGCCGTTGGGTGCGGTAAAGTATCACTTTCCGCATTTGTTAGGTAAATAACTATTGTTACATCTTAGAGTCAAACAAACATATAAGCGTCTATTGAACTTTATGGGGAATTGGGGGAAAATGAAGACAACTTCCGACTTGAGAAAACAATTCCAAGGGGTAATAAAAATCTACACAGGGAGAACAATTAATTTGAATGTGGGAAAATTTAGAATAATATCATCAATAGGCTTCATTAAAAATCATCATAAATGTAGGGCTTTTTAGACTTTTAGAAGAAAACTATACCCAATTCGTCAGAGGGCGAGGGTGTTTTTTCAGCTTTTTCAATCTTTGAAGTTGTTGACTTTATGTTTTCGAAATTCCCGATACAAATTGACTACACTAAAGGATTGTCATTTTTTCAAATAGACTTATTTTGAGAATTTGTTATAGAACACAATTTTAGAATTTTAGTTTTATTACGATTAGATTATCAATTACTAAGTTGAAAAAATATGCTGGGGTTATTTTGTAATATGACGTATTTTTTTATGTGATTTAGAATAAGTCTGTCAAATTTCAACATGTTTTATTTCTCATTCATTCACGCATATTTTTTGAACTATGATTACAATACCCATTACTTTGTTAGAGCTGGGCAGTGACCGAGTTAATTGTAGGTTCTCGTATTTGTGCTTGAGTTCCCAATTTACTTATTAGCAGGTACTCGCGAGGTCTTTATTTGATATGTGCTGAAAGACTCGTGCTTTTAGTCGGGATGAAAACGCATAGGTACTTTGAACTAGCTGCGTCAAGTGAGCCTTCTCATATCGAATTTAATAACTTTTTTAGTAGAAATCGATTGTGCTGTCAATATTAGGAATTGTGCTATTTTGGTAACTGAGTTATATACAAAAAAGTAGAGGGAGCCTAACTTGATGCTCAACCTCCCATTTTTTTTGGAATTTTGAATTTAAAAAAAAAAGTGTTTTCCTTGATACTCGGAATTGTGCTGCACATATTATCCCTCATACTTTATTTCATCACCCCATTTTCTGTTTAAACATTATGGCGGGGCAAACTTGACGTTCAGCCCCCCCATTTTTTTGGATTATGAATTTAAAAAAAAGCGATTTCCTTGAGAATCGGAATTGTGCTGCACATATTTTCCCTGAGACTTTATTCCATCACCCCATTTTTTATTTAAACATTATGGCGGGGCTAACTTGACGTGTGAGAGGAAATAATATTCTCTCTGACACGCCAATCGTGCTGCACGATTCAGCACAATAGACCTAGAGTAATTTCGGGGAATATGGAATAGTCCGGGTAATATGGAATAGCTGCTAATTTTTTTGTGGGTGGCGACATCTGCATTTTTATACCTAAGCCGACATTATTCCCACCCTAAACTATTATTAACCTCATCAGTTTTCAACAGTTGCCTTTTTTTAGTTCGCAAAACGTCATATGATATTAAACGTGTTTATCAAGTTTTGCAATTGGGTTTTTCAAATTTATCTAGTGGTTGTATTTGTACAAAGTTATCGCTCACTCTGGCAGGTGAGTCTGTCCTAATGTTCAGTTACTCTTTTAAGTTGTTGTTAGTACATTGTTCTCAAAAACATATTTTCGGCATGTATTTTTTTCTCCAGGTGGTCTTTCGGGTATTATGGGATATTCCATTGCGGCGGATGGACCCATGAAGCTACCACATCTGGTGCAAGAGATTTCTACGTTTGTGATTTTTGCCAGTAATTAGATGAGTTATTTCTTTGTTTTTTTTGTTTAATTACTCGTTATTAAGAATTAAACGTATTTTCGTTTTTTTCTTCTTATGATTTACTCTATCCCATATTACCCCATATGCCTATTCCATATTACCCTCCACTTTTTTTCAGCACTTGAAAGTGACTAATTTGACAGTTTATTTTCTGAACTGATACGGTATTTTTATAATCAAAACTGATTATAAGCTACTTATAGATAATACCCTGACCTTCTCATTTACCAAATTTGGGAGTGAAAATTGTATTAATCTTCCAGTTATTCAACAAAACGAAAATGGTATTCCATATTCCCCGAAATTACTCATCTATTTTACCAGACAAAGAGGTAATAATACGAAAACTTTATTAGATAGAAAAAGACGCAGAACGCTTATTGCGCAAGACGAGGCAAAACGTACCAAATTATGTTACTTCACACCTGTACTAGTTAGCCAATAAAAATGCAATGCCTCGTGTTGCGCGCGCATACAGGTAAAAATAGATAGGTTTATTCCAGTTCTCAAAAAAAAACACTTTTTTAAAGCACAATTTGTAAAAAAAAGGTGGCTGAGCGTCAAGATAGCCTCGCCAAAATATTTAAATCAAAAATGGGATGATGGAATGAAGTATGAAGGAAAATATGTGTAGCACAATTACGATTCTCAAGGAAATAGCTATTTACGTAACAAGTGCAGAAAATGAATTTTTCCGCAAGTGTTAGGTACAATAGTTTTTCTACAGGCGTGCGGAAATAAATATAACTACATAATTTGTAGATTTTTTTTTTTTTTGATAGCGGAAAAATTTTCCCGCACCGATATCCGTGCTGAAAATTTTTTCCGCACTAGTGCGAGAAAACTAATTTTCCGTAAGTATATCAGTCACCGCTAGTGAGTTTCTCTTGGAATGGGTACCTACTACATGGAAACGTAAATAATTCAATATTTTCCAAAAATAAAGTCAATTTGTCTGTCACATTTTTGAAAAACAGAAAGATCATTTAGACATTTTACATGATATTGTTAAAGAACAATGGAAAATAGATTGCTTCAGATTAGAAAAAATTACAAAAGTTATGTCTAAAGAAGACAAAAAAGCTCAAGACGTACTAGACAAGACTGTGTGTCATTATTTATTCCTTTTGATTTGAAAAAAAGATCTTCAAGCCCAGCACCTCTATACTTTAAATTATACTTGGGTATTCCAAGTGTTAAGAAGAAAGGAAATTTGAACCAATCTGAATATATAGGTAATATAGATAGGTATAGATAATTATGTACCTATTAATTATTCAGTAATTTTTTGGAATAAGGCCAGCAGTTTTTTTTGTGTTAAAATAATTATCTTCCAAACAACGCGTAGTATTTTGTTACCATAACTGTTGCTGGCCCAAGCGCAGTAGTAATATAGGTACAATTCCTGGTTTTTTTTCAGCACCAAGAACAAGCACTACTATTGACTTGAACTTTTGCAGCAGACTCAATAATCGCTCTTGATACTACAAACTTTGATACTACTGCATTTGGCCGGAGCCTAAAATCTAGCAAAAAAATCTTGCCTATCATATATTTTAAAATAATTAAGCCTCTCTCTAAAAACTCTTGCTTTGGGTGCCCATCTCCAACTTCAAATACCCCATCATATGCGTTTATGTTATCATAAATATTCATGTTTTAAAATATACGAATTTTTCATTAAAAAACATACAGTAGTTGTAGGTTATTTTTTGGGAAAACCTAGGATAAACCCAAACATGAAGCGCTGGTAAAATATACTAGCGGTTAAACAAAGGATTTTGGTATACCTGAGATTGTGGAACGAAATTTTACTAGTTAACCCTAATCCGTCAGACATCTTCTGGTTACTATCCATTGTGATAATGGGCCTAGGTGGCTACAGGGATCGCCATTTTTGAAGCAGCTTTGTGAATATTGGCCCAAAGAAACAGAATTATAAAGAATCAACTGAAAATAAAAATAATTTAGAAGAAAAACATGATTACGTTTTTAAGAATATTCCAAAAGAGGTATTTTTAGATACGCTTTCACCGGAAAGATTTTGTAAATAGTTGCAAAAATACTTACCTAACCTAGTGAAAAGAACAAAATGGTTTGAAAATTCAAAACCTATCCAAGAAGGTGACGCATTTATCCTTATCCCAACGGTCTTAGGAATGTTTATCCAAAAGGCAGAGTTACTCATTTATACCCAGCCAGAGATAGGAAAATACGAATAGTTGATGTCAAATTAGCCAATGGTACTATTTTGAGAACACCACTGATCAAGATATGTATTCTAGATGTTAAAGAGGCATAGACAGTAATTGTTATTAATCCTGTTTTTGTTAAACATTTACTAAGAGAGAGAAATTTTTGAAATATAAT